CCCCCCCCCCCCTACTCACCGCCAGCAAACGACTCCCGGTCCCCACCACCGTCCGCATCACATCCCCCACTGGTGTTCCCAGCACCACTGTTCTCACCACCGCTATCCCCACTGGTTTCACCACCGCCCCTACTGTCCCCACCAGTGGCCCCACCACTGTCGCACTGTCCCCGCTGTCCCCAGCACTGTTCCCACCACGGTTCCACTCTCCCCACTGTCTCCACGGCCCCAACCACTGCCCGACTATCCCCACTGTCCCCACTGTCCCACTGACTCCTCCGCTGTCCCACTGAGCTGTCCCACTGTTCCCACCACTGTCCCCACTGTCCCCACCACTGTCCCCACTGTACATCTGTCCCATTGTCCCACCGCCGTCCTCGCCACCGCCTTTACCACTGTCCCCACCACCATTGTACCCTCCACTGTCCCACTGTTTCCACCTCATTCCCATTGTCCCCACACCACTGTCCCCACCACCACCGTCACCACCACTGTCCACTGTCCCCCCCTGTTCCCACCATTGTCCCCACCACTGTCCCCACCACTACCGTCTCCACCACTGTCCCACTGTCCCACTGTCCCCACCACTGTCCCGCTATCCCCTCACCACTGTCCCCACCAACACAGTCCCCACCACTGTCCGCACCCCCACTCGGTTTTCGAGGGGGGGGGGGGTTCGAACCGGTAGTGACCCCCCCCGGTTTTCCGGATCCGGAGGGGGGGGGGTGGGGGAGGGGTTCGAACCGGTAGTGACCCCCCCCCTTTTCATGATGAGCAGGGCCTTTTCATGATGAGCAGAGGGGGGGGGGGTGGGGGGAGGGGTCGAACCGGTAGTGGACCCGGGGACCCCCCGTTTCCGGAGGAGTGGGGCGGGAGGGGGGGGGGGGTTCGAACCGGTAGTGACCCCCCCCGGTTTTCCGCCAGCAGCGGTAGAACACGCTCTTTCAGATGTAGATGTAGATGTAGGTGTAGATGTAGGTGTAGATGTAGATGTAGATGTAGATGTAGATGTGAGTCTCGCTGTTGATGTAGATGTAGATGTAGATGCAGGTGTAGATGTAGATGTAGCTGTATGTGTAGATGTAGATGTAGGTCTAGATATATATGCAGGTGTCAATGTAGATGTTGGTGTAGATATAAATGTAGATGTAAAGAACTCCCCAGTGCCCCGCCCTCATCTCCGTGCCTGCTTGTTTTTGCTGCTGTCTCGGCGACTTGCTGCCTGCTTCTACCGCTGCTTCACTTACGGCGTGGCGTCGGCGGTTCTGGCGCTACTACTACTACTACTACTACTACTACTACTACTACTACTACTACTACTACTACTACTACTACTACTACTACTACTACTACTACTACTACTACTACTACTACTACTACTACTACTACTACTACTACTACTACTACTACTACTACTACTACTACTACTACTACTACTACTACTACTACTACTACTACTACTACTACTACTACTACTACGACTACGACTACGACTACGACCGACTACTACTACGACTACGACTACGACTACGACTACGACTACTACTACTACTACTACTACTACTACTACTACTACTACTACTACTACTACTACTACTACTACTACTACTACTACTACTACTACTACTACTACTACTACTACTACTACTACTACTACTACTACTACTACTACTACTACTACTACTACTGCTACTGCTACAACTACGACGATGAGGAGAAGGAGGAGGACGGCGTTTACCGCTCCTACTAATCTTGCTTTCCTAGAGGCTCCAACTCCTAGGTAGGGTCGCACTGGGATAATGTTCAAAATGTGGCTCTCGCCTTAGCGCGGCGCACGTTCGTTTTAACAAGTTGCACAAGCTTCACGGATGGAGGGCGGTTCCTTCTCAAAATGTGGTTCTCGCCTTAGCGCCGCGCACATTCGTTTTAAGGCGGGTGGTTTTCAAAAATGTGGCTCTCGTTTTAGCGCCGCCCGCGCACATTCATTTTAACAGATTGCACAAGTCTCGCGGATGGAGGGCGGGTAAGTTTCAAAATGCGGCTCTCGCCTTAGCGACGCGCAGTTTCGTTTTAACAAGTTGCATAAGCTTCACGGATGGAGGGCGGCTCCTTTTCAAAATGTGGTTCTCGCCTTAGCACCGCGCACATTCGTTTAAACATTTGCGAGGGTTTCACGGATTCCCATGATCAGCGTATCAGAAATGGCGTTCTGGAAAGATGCAGGATAATGAGGGTGCAACAGTTACGTTGGCTCGCGGTGCTGAAGTCCCAGGAATTGCTTTCGGGCACGATTCAGGATCGTCAAGACGCAACTGCGCAACAGCCAGGTTGACCCGTGGCGTTGGAATCCCGAGAACAATGTTTTGGCATGATTCAGGGTCTTCAAACGGCTGTCTTCCAACGAGGCAATTCCCTATGGAAATGAACCGTTGTAAGGGCCTACGAAGAGGGAGCTCGGAGGGAGGGTTGATCCAACATCGCTGATGACTCTTGGGTTTACACTGGTCCTCCTCCTCCTCCTCCTCCTCCTCCTCTTCCTCCTCCTCCTCCGCCTCCTCCTCCTCCGCCTCCGCCTCCGCCTCCGCCTCCGCCTCCTCCTCCTCGTCCTCCTCGTCCTCCTCGTCCTCCTCGTCCTCCTCCTCCTCCACTTCCTCCTCCTCCTCTTCATACTCCTCCTCCTCCTCCTCCTCCTCCTCCTCCTCCTCCTTCTCCTCCTCGATCGTCGATGTCCCGAGGCCTCCCCCGGTGCTGCCCCGCCCAATGCGGGCCAGGTCCGCGGCTGCGCGGCGCGCGGCAGGGGATGCAGACCTGCCCGAGCGTCATGAAGTGCGGCATCGCTCCGTTGGGCACCTCTGCCCCAGAGGGGGGAGGAGGAGGACGAGGAGGAGGAGGAGGAGGAGGAGGAAGAGGAGGAGGACGAGGAGGGGAGGACGAGGAGAAGGAGGAGGAGGAGGCAGAGGAGGAGGAGGAGGAGGAGGAGGAGGAGCAGGAGGGAGGAAGGGGAGGGGGAGGAGAAGGAGGAGGAGTAGGAGACGGAGGAGGAGGAGACACACCGTGCGGAAGAGCCCCCGTCAAGCAACGGAAAAGAATGGCAACTACCACCTAGGCCCCTTACTATACCCCAGCCCCTCCCTGGGGCCGCCGCGGGAGCCTTGTGGCCAACGCTATCGATTGAACCTGTTCGCGGGCCTCCCTGGGCGAAAGGGCGCGGGAAGAAGAAGAGGCAGACGGGGCAAGCATGCGGAACCCGTGGAAGAAGCCTTCGCACCACCGGAGATTCTCCCCCGCGAGACCAAGTCGACGCAGCCGATCCGCTGGAGGGGTCTGGCAGGTGGCACGGGCGACCAATCCCGACAGCGGCTGGCACGAGAGCAGATACTGAGTGATATTCTAAGGAAAAGCGCACCCTGAAAGGCACCGCGCATGTCGTTGCACACGGGTGTTCGTTGTCCACCCCCCGAGCTGGGCCTTCAAGGCTGCCGAGACCCAGCTCGGGGTGTGCCTGGAGGAGGGCGGCCAACTCGTCCCAAACCACACACCCACGCCGAAGGTCAAACCCACACCACTTGGCCACCCCCCGTCGGACGAGCTCCTGACACGCATCTCGACGTGCTCGGCAGTGGGTGCCTCGAAGGCCCTCTGCCAATTTGGGGCGAACCTCCACGGGCCCCAAGACCCCAACGCTCCAGAGCCGGCCGCCCACCCGCCCGCAGTGCTGGGCTCCGCGGAGACGCCCGACGCCAACCCGCTCTCGGGACGCCGCGGTGCAGGGCATCTGCCAGGCAGGCGGGGCAAGAAAGCCACCCGTCGTCGGCGCCACGAGAGAAGCTCCGCGGACCTTGACCAGGGGCCTCCGCCAGACAGCGGCGGCCACGAGCGCCGTGCGCATCGTGGCCGCAGCTGGCGTCGAGAGCGAAGAGCGGGCCGATGGGCCTCCAATCGAAGCCAACTGGAGCCCATCAGCGCGCTGCACTGCCGAGCTGGAGGCGCCCCATAGCTGGGCAAAGCAAAGGCGTTCCTCGGAGCCGCGCTGCCAGCTCGTGGGGATGAGCTGGAACACGCACGAGGAGACAAGGAAGGCCCTCGAGGCGCCAAGATGGAAGGAAACGGCCGCGGACGCGCCTTGCCCAGCGATCTGCCCGACGCGAAGCCACTATACCGAATTGGCCTCACTCGGAGCAAGCTGCCTCGAGCTGGCGGCGAACTCGTGCCCCGGGTGCCTCTGGCGGCAGCACCCACAGCCCCGCGGCCTTGCACGTCGAAAAAATTTTAAAGCAAAACAGCGAGCACGCGAACCACCCGGGATTTCCCGGCGAGATCTCGCACGCCCTTCGACGTTGCGAGTGCGCCGCCGACGTCGCCCGCGCAAGCCCGAACGACCCAGCGGCCGCAACTCTGGATGGCCCCTTCATGCCCCGGTAGACATGGTTGGAGGCGGCGTCGCAGAGAGAACCAGGAAGCGGGCGCCCCTGGAATATGCAAGAAGTTATCCAAAACATCTGGCAGCTCACTCCTCCCGCCACCGTCGATCACGGGATCAACGGGTAGAACTGGGCGACGGCCTCCTGCAGCCTGGCGGGGGCCCGGGACGCCGAGAGGGCGCAGCGCAGCCGCGACGGACGCACCGACAGGAAGCGAAGCGGAGCGGACACCGGAGCCGCGCGGACTGCTCTGGGGAGCCCCCCCGTGCCCTCTAGGGCACGGCGTGGCTGCCGCGGCCGCAAGAGTGCAACACGTAGGCGGACTCACGTGATGACCACCACGCAGAGTTCCCAGCCGCCGATGACCACCGCAAGTCCTTCGCGGTGTTGCGTCTGCGTGGTCGCAGACGGGTCGCTGCCAGAATTTGCCCCTGCCCGGCGTCGGGGCCGCCGAGGCGCCCGCCGAACGCGGGGAAACTTTCAGATGTCATCGCCCCACTGTTTCCGTTGCCCCCCACGTCGTCGCCGCCCCCGCTGTCGAGCGCTGAGATTTGGGCCCCAACTAAACACTCCCAACGCCCAGCGCGTCGAAGGGTGGATAGCCACAGTTTCCCCGCAGCGACAAGCCATTCTTCGGTGCATGTGGAGCACGTCTGGCACGTCATGTTGGAGCATCAATGCCTCTGCTCTCCGCGTGCCCCCGCGGATGAAATCGAACCACAATTCGGAGCCCTCGTCCTGCACGGCGCCAGGTCGCGCGCCTTCGTCGGAGCTGACGTCGCCCAGCGCGTTGGTTTGGTCGGCGGGCGGGTGGCTGCAGACGCCGGACTCGCTTCAATCGATCGGGGCAGTGCTGCTGGCGTCGTGGTTGTTGCTTCGGCCCGTCTGTGGATGACATTGTGGCGTCGGCGTCGCTGTCGCGCGTCTGCTTGGTGTTCCGATCATCATAATGACCGCCCGTCGATGTACTCGGCGTAACTGCTGTTTGAGAGGCTCTGTCAGCGTCCGCGTTTCTGCGCCGTGCGTCATAATAGGTATGACCGTGCCCTCGTACAGCCGCAATCGATGTCGCAGTGGGTAATGCTTGCTGAGTTCTCGTTCGTGGCTGCTGATGCATGCCCATGCTGCTTGAAACCGGTGATTTGCCTCGGTTCCCGGTGCGTCTTGGAAAGTCATGGTTTGGCCCAAGTAGGTGACGGTGCTTGTTCGTGGCAAAATGTTGATGTCCATTCTTGCTACTATGGCTGTTCAGTCGCGGTGCCGAAGCCGGGTGGCCATGATTTTGGCTTCCGTCGGGTGCAGCTCTAGTCCGTGCTGCTTGGCTGAGGTGATGAGGTCAGAGAGCATAACTTTCAGATTGGGTCGCGTTTGGCTTTTCAGCAAGATGTCCTCCAGGAGCCCGAGGACATTTCTCTTTCTTGGATAGAATGGCATACTCAACTTTGCAGCGAGGTTGAGAGTATTGTTGATGGTGGCCGTCCGGCTGCCCACCGACCTGGAGCAGGTGCAGCTGGCCCGGCTGCCTGCTGGCCTCTGGCCATGAACCGTGTGCTGGCGAGGGCCCTCCTGTATGGATCGGACCCGTGGGAAGGGGAGGAGGAGTGGAAGCTAGGAGGTGGACACGGAGCGGGGGAGCTTGGCGTGCTGTCCTTGGTGGCGGGGTCCCTGGGGGCACAAGAGGGCTTAGGTGGGTGAAAAAAAACGCTAGTACCTCCCAGCCGCCCCCCTCCCAGGGATACTAGGCAGCGCGCTCTGCGTCGCCACACCCTGCTGCGCGCGGTGACGGCGCGTGCGAGGGTGCAGAGCGACAGCGCCACCCTCGACGTGCAATCCCTCCATGGCCTCGCCCGACTTCCTCCTCACTTACTTCATGACGATATTCCATGTCCTCGTCTCCCTATCTCTCGTGTGCTGTTCCGAGTTCGACCACATGCCTCAGAGGTTCGCTTTCCCAGGCCCCATGGACCGCGTTTGTTCCCTGAGTCCCTGAATATTCCACGGTGTGTTCCAGAGGCAAGGTCGAGTGCGGGGATTTGCTCGACTTTACTGCTTTGGCTACGGTCCCCGTGGATGGGGGAGCGTGGCGTGCTGTCCTGGGGTGCGGGGTGGCTGGGGGCACAAGAGGGTGTAGGTGGGTGAAATACCCTGTAGTACCTCCCAGCCGCCCCCTCCCCAGGGACACTAGGCAGCCTGCCCTGCCTAGCCACACACCCCTGGCGACAGCGCCACCCTCGACGGCGCCGCCATCTTCCCGCTCGACTCCCCTCCATCAGTCTACGTCATTCGTCACCTTTGTTGCCCATCCTCGTCCTCTTCCTCTATCCTTGAGCGCTGTGCCCGACTTCATTGTTTCGGCCACGGTCTTGGTGGCGCCTGCCTTGCGGCCTCAACCGTCCGAGCGGACGGCGAGGCACTGCCTTCCGACCGCCTGCAGATGCAGGCCCAGCTGACGCTGCGGGTGTGCGCGCCCAGTGGCCTGCCGAAGAAAAGGAGGAGGAGGAGGAGGAGGAGGAGGAGGAGGTAGTGGAGCGTGGCCGAAAGGCGAGCACGAGAAATGACAACGCCATTAGGGAGGGCCAGGTTCGCTCTGCACATTGATGCCGAACAGGTAGAGGGGGAGCAGGAGGAGCTGGGGCAGGAGGGGAGGAGCAGCAGGAGGAGGAGGACGGGGGAGCGAAGGGAGGAGAAGGACGAGGAGGAGGAGGTGGAGGTGGAGGAGGAGGAGGAGGAGGAGGAGGAGGAGGGGGAGGAGGAGGAGAAGGAGATGGAGAACGGACGAAGGGAGGAGGAGGAGAAAGAGGAGGAGGAGATGGGGAACAATGGATGGGCGCGACCAGCAGAGACGCGGCGCGCGGGCAGAGGTCCTGGACGCGAAGGGAAGGACGGCGACGAGCAGGCGGTGAAACGGGCAGCAGGAGTGCGTGGGCCAGAAGGGCGCCCGCGCGAGACACTGTCGACACATCCAGCACTCGGCGGAGAGCGAGGGGGGGGAAATGAGAAGGAGAAGGCCTCCTCAGAAGGCGGCGGGACTTCTCAGAAGCCCCCGCGCCTTCTGAGAGGCTTCCTCTGTCTTCGGGGGCAAGGCTCAGAAAGTTCCTCGGAAGGCCAGGGGACTTCCGAGCCTTCTGAGAGGGCCCGCCCCTTCTCACTTCCCCCCCCGGGCTCGCCGCCGAGCACCGAGAACTCTGGCTGCAGCTGCCGGGAGAGGGAGCGAAGCTGCCCGCCGCGCTCGGGCGCCCGCGGCGGCAGTCCCTGTGCCGAGCCGGCCGGCCGGCGGGGGCTCCGGCGAGGAGAGACCGGGCGCCACGCGGACCGGACGCAGCAGAGGAGCGGCCAGCACGGCGGGGCGCGGCTCGGCGAACGGCGCCACGGACAGCGTCAGCATCTCGTGCGCTCCAGGGGGCCCGCGCAGAGTTCTCGGGCCGGCGCCGGGCGCCCCCTTCCCCCTTGCCTTTCCCGCGAGGCGCGCGGCGCCAGAGGCGCCGCCACGGCAGGGAGGACCAGAACCGGCCCGACCCAAGCGTAACGCGGCCAACGCTCGAACACGTTTAGGCTTTGAACCGTCCTGTTTGGAGGTGTGTGCAATTATGTTGCGTCACGCGGCAGGCTGTGGAGGGGCGCGGGCAGGCGCCTGACAGAAGGGGAAGTCGTAATACTTGTAAGTCTCGGTGGGGTTCTGGAAGGGCCACGCCTTGTTCATGCTCACCTGTATGTCCTGCGGCGCCGGGGCCGTGCGAAGCCAAGCCTTGCCACGTGCCTCTCCCCCCAGACGCCTCCCGCTCCTACCCACTCGCCCTCCCCTTCCCGTCCTCCACACCCCTGACCTCTCCCTCTCTCTACCCCACCCCTGTTCTCACTGACCCACCGCTTACCCTCGTTACCATGTTTGAGGAACTCTCTGGCGAAAGCCACGTTGTGATAACCAAGCTTGCCTCCACCCGCGTACCAGTGGAATCGAATGTACGCGGCGCCCAAGCGAGAGCCCCAACAGACATCCGACGCCAGCCGCGACGTTGCCACAGCGTGGCTCACCCAAGGCCCCGACCCCCTCGTGGGGATCGGCTGGTCGTACTGGACCGCTTCTTGACGGCCCCGGGGGACGAGCAGCGAGGCGGAGGGCGAGCAAGATGAGCAGGACTGAGGAGGACGGACGGAGGGGAGTGTGAAGAGGAGCACGGAGGAGTGCAGTGTGAAGGGGAGCAAGAGGGCGGGTGCAGTGTGAGGAGGACGGAGGGGATGGAAGAGGAGCACGAGGACGAAGGATCGGCAGGGGGGCAGAGGAGGACGAGGACGCGGGCCCGGCCGTGGCCCCTGTCAGGACCGGCTGTCGGAACCTGCCGTCGTGGTGCTTCTGACTACCTACCAAACCACCCCAACCCAACCCGAAGACCCGAATTTCGGGTTGGGGGGGGTAAGGGTTCCATATGTGTTTTTGTCGATGTTTCCGGACCCCCCCCCACTAGAGATCGAGGGTAAATCTGAGCCTTCGGGTTGGGTTGGGGTGGTTTGGTGGGTGGTGAGTTTCCACGACGCGGAGACATCTGGCCTTGGGGCAAAAGCTCGAGCCTCCGGCAGCCGATCGGGACGATCTGGGCACCTCCAGGACGCTGTCGACGAGGCGCAGGTCTTGGAAAGCTTCCCGAGGCGAGAAAACCCTCCAAAAGCGGCGAACCCTGAAATCCCCGCACTGTGGCAAAACAGTGGCGACGGGCAGTTCTTTGTGACTTTCGACCTCCAGGGGCCTTTTACACGAGCCCCGGGACGGTCAAAGAACGACCCAGGATCAAGATCCCGTCCACGGGAAGGGTTTGGAACTCTGGGGAGCCGCGTTGCGAGAAAATGACGACGTCGGACGTGTGACGACGGGGGGTCCAAATTATTGCTCCTCTCTGTCCGCCTCGTCTCCCGCCCGTACTCTCTGTCGGATCCTCTCTCTCTCTCTCGCTCTCTCTTTCTCTCTTTATGTATCTCTCTTTCTCTCTCTCTCTCTCTCTCTCTCTCTCTCTCTCTCTATATATATATATATATATCCCTCTCTTTCTCACCCCCCTCTTTATCTTTCTCTTCTCCTCGCCTCCTCCCCCTCCTCCTCCCTCCTCCTCCAGGCAGGAAACGCGCCCGTCCAAGCTGCTCTGGTTCTGGCGTCGAAAACCACCGCGAGGACACGGACGCGGCAAAACTGCGGCATGCCATGGAGAAGGTCGCGGAAGGTTTCGGGCAACGGCGCTGCCATCTGGCGCGCTTGAATCCGAGACCACAAGCCCCCCTCCACAGTGGGGGGCAGTCCGCCCTCCGCGCGGGGGTCGCAGTTCCCCATCTGCCGGGAGCACCTCCCAGCACTGGCAAGCGAACTTGCCGCACAAGTGCGCGACGCAATGCGCGACGCGAGCCACGCGGCCAGGGTTCCGGAGCAAGGCCCCTGCACGCCGGGACGCGGCCACGCCATGAAACCCGCTGCTGCGGATCAGCTGGCCCAGCTGATCCTTGCGCACATCGCGGTCCCGCTGAGCGCCAGGCTCGAAGGAGACCAGGGCCACTCCATCCTGTCTGCTCCGCACCACATTGACCCACGACTCCGTGGAAGCCTCCCCCCCGGGGACCACCGAAGCAACGCTTAGGTTCACTTTCACCTCGGGCTGTCCGTCGACCAGTTTGTCTCGAGGGTCGAACACAAGGTCAACGAGAGGTTTGGTAGCGCTCGGCCCGGCGCATTCTTCTAGGAAGAACGCGCGGCCCCCCCCCCGACCAGACCCTCGTCCTCCTCGAAGGCACCTTCTGCTGCTGCAGAATCGTGGCTGGGGTGCCTTTCGCGCCCCCCCCCCGCTGCTGCGGGGGTGCTCTCGCGGGCTTGCGCTGGCAAGTTCCCCTGGGCGCCTGGCGACTTTGGAAACTTCCCCTGCTTCCGTTTGTCCGTGACGGCGGCAGCTTTTCCTCCTTGCAGCTCCCCGTCGTCCAGTTCCCCTTCTTCTTCTGCTCTTGCTTCTGTGTCGCGCGGTCATGGTTCCTGGGCGGCGCCGCTGCTGTCCCCAAGAGTGACCTCCACTGGAGAATCCCCACTGTGGCGTCAGAGACCTGGCTGCTTCTGCGACGGTCGCCAGTTTGGTCGGCGTTTTACTGACCCCCCCCGTCAACGGATGCGCCAAATCAGGCTTGCCTTCATACAGCAACGCGTCGGCCGTCCGCGGGGAAATCGATGCGAACCCCGCGACTGAGAGCATCAACTTAGCCACGGCGCTGCTTCCTTTTCCAGTCTGACCCCCCGCTGCTGCGGAGTTCGCACTCCTCCTCCTCCTCCTCCTCCTCCTCCTCCTCCTCCTCCTCCTCCTCCTCCTCCTCCTCCTCCTCCTCCGAAACCGAAAGCATCCGAAACTCTCGAGGGGGCGCCGCAGTCCTGGCCATGCTCGTAGGCCCCCTCCGCGCCCGCCAGCAGCCGCGCCAGGGCCCCGGCCGCCAGCAGCCGCGCCCGAGGGGTCCCCGCGCCGGCCCGCCCCCGGCGCATCGGCGCCGGCTGGGGGCGCGCCGCACTGGGGGGACCCGCCTCTGCAGGGGGGACGTTCCGGGTTCGAGATTCGAGGTTTTCGGTCGTTCTCGTCGCTTCGCGGCGGATTTCCAGCCTCAAGATGCGTTCCAGCAGCTGCGCCTCGCCGAGGGCGTTCCGGGGGTCCCGGGATTGGTCCAAGCGGCATGCTGGAGGCCCGAGTTATGACCCGAAAACCGTCAGGGGGCCGACCCCGACGATCATCATCACGACGACGACGACGACGACGACGACGACGACGACGACGACGACGACGACGACGACGACGACGACGGCAACGGCGACGGCGACGGCGACGGCGACGGCGACGGCGACGGCGACGGCGACGGCGACGGCGACGACGATAATCACGACGACGGCGACGGCGACGGCGACGGCCACCTCGACGCCTACAGCGACGGCGACGGCGACGGCGACGGCGACAGCGACGGCGGCGGCGGCGGCGACGGCGACAGCGACGACGGCGACGACGGCGACGGCGGCGACGGCGACGGCGGCGACGGAGGCGACGGCGGCGACGCTGGGGGCGCGCTGCCAGGGTGCCCCGGGGGCCCCACCGTCGGAGGGGGGGGCCGTCAACGACTGCCAAGACCTCCTGGCGGTGTGGGCCAACAAAAAAAAATCGGCGGGGGGGTTGTGGCTGTGTTCGGCCTGCTCCGCCTCCTCCATTGTTCCTTCTCCTTCCTCGCCTCCGCGTCCTCCTCCTCCTCCTCCTCCTCCTCCTCCTCCTCCTCCTCCTCCTCCTCCTCCTCCTCCTCCTCCTCCTCCTCCTCCTCACTCCTCCTCCTCCTCTCTCCCCTCCCTCCTCCTCCTCCTCCTCCCTCTCTCCTCCTCCTCCTCCTCCTCCTTCCTCCTCCTCCTCCTCCTCCTCCTCCTCCTCCTCCTCCTCCCTCCTCCCTCCAAGGACGGAGCCGAAGCCGCAGCCACTTGTCGTCGGCGAGCCCCGGAGGGGGGGAAGTGAGAAGAGAAAGGCCTTCTCAGCAGGCGGCAGGACTTCTCAGAAGCCCTCCGGCCTGGGTTTTTCATGTCTTCGGGGAAGGTTCAGAAAACTTCCCAGCTCCGCAGCCATTCTGGCTCAGGCGTTTCGGCGGGTGCGCTGGATCTCTCACGGGGCGCTCGGGCGAGCGCCAGGCGCGCCCCCTTTGTGCCGCGCGTCCTTGGCTGGCCATGGGACGCGGCGGGCGTGGCGGCCCGACGGTGCGGCATGGCGCGGCCGTCACGACCGTCGGCTCCGTGCGCGATGCCGCGGAGCTCATGCTGCTGCTGCAGGCGCAGTGTGCGGCAGCGGCCCCGCCGCCCCGCAGCGGCGCAGTGCCCGCAGGCCCAGGCTCACCTGAGCGGCTGGCGCTGGGCGATCGTGCCCAACGGCTGCTCGGTGCGGCGGCAGAGGCAGTCGCCACGGTGGGCGGCTCCACCCTGACCGTGGGGCTCGCGCGGGACGTCCGCGAGCTGGGCGCCGCCAGCGCGCTCCTGCGCCACCCAGGAGCGCCCGAGGCCGCCCTGGCCAAACTCCTGCGCTGCATGGCAGGAGGGCGCCCCAAGGTGCACGCCAGCGAGGTGGAGCACTTCGCCCTAGACTCCGAGTGTGTGCCCACGGAGAGCGACGCGGAGGACCAGGCACCCAGCGTGCGCAGCGACTCGGAGGGCGAGCAGAAGTCCAGCGGGTGCGAGGATGCCTTCAGCACGAGCGGTACTGGCGTCAGCGGGCGCTGGTGGTCGTGCAGCTTAGCGACGCGGAGGGCGCCAAAAAGTCCTGCGAATGCGAGGACGAGGTCGGCGAGCACGTGCAGCTCGCCGCAGAGGCGCCGTCCGTGTTGCAGGCGGACTTCAAGGAGATCGACGCTTCGGTCGTGAAGGAGCTCAGCGAGAACACTCTGCCTCAAGTCTCTGAGGCGCAGGTCGAGGCCAAGGCGCGCCTCGCCATGCTGCGGGCAAACACCGACAAGGAGCACGAGCGGTGCTGGCGTCAGCGTGCGCTGGAGGGCCAGCAGCAGCAGGCCGCTGAGGGCGCCGAGAAGTCCAGCGAGGACGTTTTCGGCGAGCGCGCGCAGCTCGCCGCCGAGGCGACGTCCGTGCAGCAGGCGAGCCTCCAGGAGAGCGACGGCGCGGTCGTGAAGGAGTCCAGCCATCTCAGCATGCCGCAGATTTCTGGGGCGCGGGCCGAGGCCGAGGCGCAGCGCGTCGCGGTGCTGCAGGCCGAGGCCGCACAGGAGCACGAGGGCCTCGAACTGCAGAGCCGCGAGCTGGCGTCGGGGTGGCCGCCGACGGCAGCCACGGCGAGCGAGGCCGCACGCGTGCCTCGGCCAGCTTGCCACGCCGGGCGAGGAGGGCGCCTCTCGAGCGGGCGTGGCCACCGCGAGAGGTCCTGGCGGGCCTCTCTCTCCCCATCCTTCCTCCCTCTGGGACCCTCCACGCTCCAGTTGGAGAGCGGTGAACTCGACGCGGCCTGCGTCTCGTATGGGCTGGTTTTCGCCGCTCCGGTCGCCGGCGCGAGCGGGGCGCTAGCGAGCGGGAGTGGCTTCGGTGGACTCCCCCCGTTCGGGCGGGGGGGGGCGCGGCCAGGCGGGTACCCCGCGCGGGTGCCACTGGTGATGCCGCGCACCGCTGAGACAAGGCCGCTCCAATATAAGTGGCCCCACACTTGTTGGACGTGATTGCCCGGTGTTTTCATCAGGTCCATTCTCGATCGATGGTGACAGGCCGTTGACATTGCTCGTGATAGCCATATGTGTTCCTCACTTGTGAGGAGCCTTCGGCTCGGTATACGTATGTGGTTAAATTTCATCGAGTTTGCTCTGATCTGCTCCTCGGTTGCTTCTTCAGTCGAGCTTGCAATGGGCTCGAAAAATATAATAAAAAACTTCCCAAAAGTCCAGGGGATTTCCAAGCCTTCGGAGAAAGCCCGCCCCCTCTCACTCCCCCTCGGGCTGTCCGCCGACACTTACCCGACCCCGCGGAACCGTCAACAAATAACGCAGGATGACAAACTGTCCTCTGGGGAGACACATCGTGAACAAGATCGCAACGTCGGAGGGCTGACGGCGACGCATCAAGGCGTTTGGCGTCGTCGTTTACTGGCACTGGGCGTCGTCGACATCGCGATCGCCAGCGCCCGCCGAAGGGAGAAATCGAACCACACCCGACTGCTGAGGGGGGCGATCCCGTCAGGACCTCCCCACCCAGGTTTCCTCCCAGCGTGATCGGAAGACGCTTTTTGCTCTGGAGCCCTCGGCGTGGCAGATGACATGCACGTGGTGCTGCGTCGGCGAGACACGGTCGATACCTCGGCGACGGTGGCGATCTCCGACGCATAATACAATACACAAGATGAAACATGAACAACTGCTGGCGGCGCGGAGGCTGCTTCTTAGAAGGCCCGCGCCTTCTAAGAAGCAGGGGTGCTTCTAAGAAGCCCTCCCCCCTCCCCCCACCCCCCTCTGCGCGTGGCTGAAACTGTGGCGTGGTGATGGCAATTTGAGGCGGGGAAAACATACCACCTCGCAGAGAACGAGACTGGGCTCAAAGAGAGGCACCTGCAAAGCCTAGATACTCCAATTCGACTGGCGTGTTCACGGTGGCATATGCGTCACCGGAACAAACAGCTGACGAAAAGCCCATGCCATCGAGAGATCCTCCTCCTGCCCAAACCTCCTCCCTGCTTGCTCGCCCCAGTCAGCAGCTTCCTGTCGAGCTCTTGCGCGGACCATCGAGCTCCGAGCTCCGAGATCCTCCGCTTTTTCCCTTTCCCTGTCGACCGCATGCCGCCAGCGGTTGTCTACCCGCCGCGGGCCCCCGAGGCAGACACGGGAGAGCTTTAAAGGATAAATATGTATGTTTATATATATATATATATATATATACATACATATACATATACATATATATACATATAGGGCTCCTCCTCATCTCTTCCTCCTCCTGCTCCTCCTTTTCCTCCTTCTCCTGCTCCTCATCTCTTCCTCCTCCTTTATAGAGCTCTTCCTGCTCCTCCTCCTCCTCTTCCTCCTCCTCGTCCTCCTCCTACCAGGGCCGCCCGCAGCAGAGCACCAGCTCCGACGCCGGGTGCTTCCGCACCTCGCCCTCCGACCCCTGCGCTACCACCACTCCTCCGAGTCGAGCAGCACACGCCGGAGGCGGCGGCGAAGACAACGGCGGCAGCGCCAGCGGCGGCAGCGGAGCAGCCTCCGCCGCCACAGGCCCAGCGCGCAGCCTGGCGCACCCCCCCGGCCTCCTCGGCGGGCCCCCCCCCGGCGGAGGGCGCGGGCGGGGCCGCGAGGCGCACCAGGGCCTGCGCGTGAGGCGCAGGGGCGGAAGCGCAGGGGCGGCCGCAGGGCCAGGCGCGGAGCACACGCCGACGAGGTCTGGGCACCTGACTGACTGCGCAGGGATGGCGAGGCGGGGCAACTCGACGCCGCCGCGCGCGCCACCACTCGACGCCGCCGCGCGCGCCACCATGGATGCTCCCCAGTCCCGCACTCCACGTCGCACAGCTTCGGTGAGACAGAGGGCGATGCCTTGCAAGGGAGCCTGCACCAATTCAGACTTGAGTCGCAGTGGTTGCGGCACGCACCATCACAACGATCGGGCCACGTCGCGGAGCACACAGCGACAAGGGCAGGAACTTGCTGGCGCTGCGTCGATCGACACTGAAGTTGCTGCCCCAGACCACACCCAAGGGGGCGCGTCTCGACAGCAGCATCGGGCACGGACACCTGCACGATCGACTTGCTGGCGCTGCGTCGATCGACACTGAAGTTGCTGCCCCAGACCACACCGAGAGGCGCGTCTCGATAGCCAGCAGCGGGCACACGGGCACCTGCACGATGAGCGGCAGGCATCCCGTCCTCGGCGGGATCACCAAGGAGCTCGAGGGCCACGAGCAGACGCTCCACCACTTGCGCAGGAGCGGCGACCCAGCCGACAAGACCCGCCTCAAGGAGATCGGGTCGCCAGCTCCTCCTCTCGGCCTCGCGGCTCTGGAGAGCCTCCAGAAGTGCGACCTCGGACGCCGGCTGAAGACGGAGATCGCCGAGCACCTGGAGAAGGCCTGGCCAGCGGATCCCGAGCAGATCGAGGTCGAGACAACCAAGGACCAACTGCAGTTGGAAGTCAGCCTCATTCGCCTAGAGAGCTGCTGCGACGCGGACGAGACGAAGCTCGTCATCGGAGCCCCCATCCTGGGCAGGACGGCCCATCGCTCAGAGGGCGCCAGCGGCGGAGGGGGCCGCCCAGCACCACCGTGGCGCACCACCGGCGGGATGGCTCGAGGAGGAGGTAGCCCAGTGGCTGGAAACACACTCGAGCAGTGAAGTCTGTGCGCGGCGAGCCTCTCGCTGCCACGAACCGCGGGGTAACTGTAACATACGCCAGCGGCCCTGCCGCGTCTTTTTCAGTGCCGCCGTACTTGCCTGTGCCAGTCGTTTCATCAACAGTTCCTGTACCGCTGGACTCGCCAGCGCCGGTCGACAGTTTGCCGGTTTCTGTGCCACTTGCACACGCCAGCCGCCGCCCAGTCAGAGTCTGCGCCAACAGACTTACCATACCAACGCCAGTCGCCCGAAGCCAGTTTCTGCGCTAGCAGCGGCACTTGAGCCAGACTTGCCTACGCCGGTCGCCTCTCAGACCGCTTCAGCGCCAAACTTGCCAGCGCCAGTCACGGACAACTTTAGTCCACACCAGGAGGCTCCGTACGACACAGCCGCCGAAGATGAGGCCGCAGAAATTCTATTTTCATAGCAGACCTCTCCTTCGCTACGTTTCGAGGCAGCGCGATGCAGCCCCCCTGTGTCAGCACCCCCGATGCGTGGCCACAGGCGGGGCATTACGAGAACAATGGCTCTCTGCGGCGGACCGTTGATTTGTTCAAACAATGCTGGCTCCAATTTGGTCCTGACGCCGGGGAAAAACCATTATCATCAACAACTGCATCATCATCATTATCATCGTCATCAACATCCTCATCATCATCATCATCATCATCATCAGATGTATCCTCATCATCATCATCGTTAACGTTATCGTTATCGTTATCGTCATCATCCTCAGCATCATCATCACCATCATCATCATCATCATCATCATCATCATCGTTATCGCCATCATCATCATCATCATCATCGTCAGCATCATCAGCATCGTCATCATCAGCATCATCATCATCATCAGCATCATCATCGTCATCATCGTCATCATCAGCATCATCCTCATCCTCATCCTCATCCTCATCCTCCTTTTCCTCCCCAACCTCGTCATCGCAGTCTCGCTCCTCCTCCCCCAAGGGCGGGAGAAGCAAGGATGAGAAGGGAGGTACGGGGAAGGGAGGAAGGAGGTGGGTGAAAGGAGAGGAGACGGAGGGCAGGGGACGGGGGAGGAGGAACGCAGGCCAGCGGAGCGTAGAGAGAAGAGGGCGGGAGCATCATCAGGGCATCAGATGAAGCCACAAAGTGGCTGTCCCTCTTCAGTCAGACGAGCCCGAGTCAGGAGCAGGAGGAGCAGCAGCGACGACAGAGGGACGCGGCTCCCTGCCTCCCTCCCTCCCTGC